TGTATTATGTATTTAGACTCACACTCTCCCTAGATACCTTCATGTTGCATTATTGCCTAACTTATACTTGCTGGAGGATTTTCTTCTGTCAAAAAATAATTCATTACCATTTTACTGAATAAACCATGGTGAAGTTTCCATAGTGAAATAATTTGGTGTGCATGCACATGCACACACCCCCGACAGGTGTGGGTCTCTACCAGGAGAATGTCTGTTTATGTGGTCGGTTTACATATTATTAAACCACCCATCTGATCTCTAATGGCAGCCCTGCTGACACTGTCTGACCCAGTTTGACAATCTGGGTAGAAATTGTAGGGTTGGCTGTTCAATGGCTGTGACTTTTAACAGCACTGCTTTTGGGCCTCAAATCAATTCTCTCTGTTTACAGACCATTTCACAGCCCTTTACCTGCAACATCACTTGTGTCAGTCCCATAAATACTTTGGTGTATATAATGCTTGAATTAGCATAATGGTTTAGGCTCTAAGCTCTTAGCCCAAAGAAGGACACATCAACATGTTCTCTTCACTTAAGCAATTAAGAGCCATTATGCTGCTTCAGTGGAAATATCATCAAGGTTAAAGACAATCCCAAACAGCCCTCTCACCTTTTTATTCTAAGTCTAATAAATGAGGCATAGAAATTGAAATGTTAGTAAACAGTCTTACTTGCAGGCTCTTTTTGGATTACGTTTAATCAGACCCCCATTCACTAGACATTTACAAAGGATTCGGAAATATTTATATTGAATTATTCATTTAGTGTAAGAAAATAGAATTTACTGATTTAATTTCAAAGTCATAGTGAGCCCTCGTTTATTTTACCAGAATTAAAAAATTTTAGAATCAAAATAGATTTTAAAAATTTCTGTATTCTCATTACTTGATAATAAGAAAATTTATTTTTCAAAGGTAATAAGGTTGCTGTGACTTTTAAGTTAAGGGATATTTCTAAGGTTTTTCTATGTTGTTTTCTTTTTAGATTATTTTTTAAATCCAGATTTACCATAACAATTTTCAAATAATAAAATTCAATTTTAAGTACATAGTTTGATGAGTTTTGGCAAATATGTGCTGCTGAATACTGCCGTTATAATAAAGATACAGAATATTTCCATAACCTTAAAAAATTCCCTTCTCGCACCCCTGGGAACCAATGATCTGCTTTTGGTCACTAGTTTTGCCATTTCCAGCATTTCATATAATCAATATCTAGACTTTTGTCTTGGCTTCCCATATTTCTGTACTTTTCCTTATGTTGTAGGAAACATAATTCAGGGGTAATCTGGTGCCACTATTTCTAGATCAATGACCTTAAGTAAGTTACTTAAATTCTCTGGGCCTTAGCTTACCAGTCTGTAGAATGGAGATAACACCCTCACGGAGTGGGTAGGGGGTGTATACAGACCCATGTACATGTGCTCAGATAGGGCGTCCAGAAGGTGCTTAGTGTTAGTTCTGAAGACTGGTCAATCTGTCTCCAGCCGTTTGCCTTCTCACTGCGAGTTAGTGGACAGCTCACTACAGCTGTCACTACAGAATCCAGTGACTAACCAAAGGCACAGGGAACTTTTCAGGGTTTGGAAATATTCTGTGTCTTGATTGTAATGGTGATTAGACAACTTTTTAAGTTTCAGAAAGCAGTTTTGCAGCTCAGCATCCATAGCTCAGTGGTTAAGGTGCTGGCCACATATACCAGGGCTGGTAGGTTCAAACCCAGCCCAGGTCTGCTAAACAATAATGACCAATAATGACAAATACAACAAAAAAAATAGCCAGGCATCATGGCGGGCACCTGTATTCCCAGCTACTTGGGAGGCTGAGGCGAGAGAATTACTTGAGCCCAAAAGTTGAGGTTGCTGTGACCTGTGATGCCACGGCACTCTACCCAGGGAGACATAGTGAGACTCTGTCTCCAAAAAAAGAGAAAGAAAGAAAGAAAAAAAAAGTAGTTTTTCAATAAGAGAATGTAAGTAATGTGAGAGAAAAACCCGGTGTGAAAGAGAAAAAATGCAGTTAAGTGATGTTGTACTGACTATCTTGAATAATAACTTCAAAATGACAGAAACAATTTATTGCATGTAGGAAACATGCAAAATCTGAGCTTAAAAACAGTTAATTGAAGCATCATTCTCTTTGAGAAATCTCCCGACTCCCAGAACCCTCACTTTCAGTCTGAGTGAGGAGCCTCTTCTCCATGTTCTGGGTGCAACTGTCCCTCCCGTCACGTCTGTCAGCACACTGCATTTTAATTTTTGGTTCATGCATCTATCCTCTTTGTAGACTCTGCAATCCCTGAGGATAAGTACCTTTTTACCTGGATCCTTATATTCCCAGCACCCTGAAAAGCCCTGAGTAGGGGCTCAGTCAGTGAGTCAGTGATGAATGAAGGCGACCTCAACCACAATGCCTCATTCATAACTTAAACAAACACATTGCTCCAGGCTTTCTTTTAATAGTTATTTGACTCCAATGTATGTGAGAATCTGAAACAACAGGGAGCCACTAAACTCCAGGAAGAGGTAACCAGGGGAGGAGAGAGGAAGGAGCATGGGGAGGAGAAGGGAAGGAGCACAGGGGAAGAGAGGAAAAGGAGCACAGGGAGGAGAGGAGCATAGCAGAGGAGAGAAGGAGCATGGGGAGGAGAGGGGAAGGAGCACAGGGAGGAGAGGGGAAGGAGCACAGGGAGGAGAGGGGAAGGAGCACAGGGAGGAGAGGGGAAGGAGCACAGGGGAAGAGAGGGGAAGGAGCACAGGGAGGAGAGGAGCACAGCAGAGGAGAGGGGAAGGAGCACAGGGAGGAGAGGGGAAGGAGCA